GGCCTTCCCGCACAGGTTCCTTCCCGGCAGCGCCTGAAGCCAGGCCAGGGTACTCAAGCCTGGGCCCAAGGGAGGGTCTTGTCTAGTCAGACACCCAGCACCTGAGACGCTGGATCCCGGGCGTCAGCGTAGACTCTGCCAGTCCACCTGTGCCCAGGCACGGACCTTCGCCATCCCCGCCCTACCCGCGGGCCCAGCGCCCAGCACGCCAGGGATCCGATCTCCTCCGGCCTAGCCCGCCCTCTTTACCTTCCCGCGCCCTGGCCGGGATCTGTCTCCCGGGGTTTTGGTGATCCCCAGCTCGGAATGAGTGAGTGGGAAGTGGGCTCCCGACGAGGTAGGAGGACACTAGAGAATGGGAGAGGAAGGCGAGGTTGGGGAGAAGGGGACTTGCTGGAGCTTCCGCAAGTGTTAGGCTCCGTCGGTTCATTTTGGCCGGAGACGTCTCGGGGACCCCGCTGACCCGGGTGCTCCTGTAAAAGTTTCTACACTGTTATCTTAGTGTTTCTACTTGATGCTGTCTCGCCACATTAGAAACAAAACAAAATCGAGCCCAGGTCTGACGGAACTGTCCATCCGTCCGTTAAGGAAATTTCTTGGTTGTGGGGGCGTGTGAGACAGTTGTCAGGAAGTCATACATGAAATGATTTCTTTGCTCTCCCCTCTCTGGGGAATTTGCACTTGCGTGGTATACAGACTAGATCTGTAGACTGCAAAATGCTCAGCTTGCAATTTGGTGTGAGAGTCAGTGAAGTCAGATATTTAAAAAAAAAAAAAAAGATTTACGAATGTTGGATTAAATACTCAGTCGTGCTCCGGGAGAGAGCAAAGTCATTCGTTGCTAGCTGGGCAAATAGAGAGAAATTTTAGTTTAAAGAAAAACAGAAGACTGGCAAGTGGAAAAAAAAAATGCTTATCCAGAGACAGGATATGGACACAAAGCTTTTTAATTTACACAGTCCATACTAGCTCTCCAGGTCCATCGAATTCCCAGGTACAGGCAGTCTGTGTGTGTGTGTGTGTGTGTGTGTGTGTGTGTGTGTGTGAGAGAGAGAGAGAGAGAGAGAGAGAGAGGAGAAGGAGAAGCAGGGGGAGGAGGGTCCTGAGGTGAGAGGTGCGTTGTCCGCCTGGCGGGCACACTGCAAACCCCTGACACAGAGACGGACCCCAGCGAGCCGGATGACAGCGCTGGGAAAGGCTGGGCCAGCCGGGCCTTAACACCAACTCAGACCGAACGCACCTTACCGCATTAAAACCCGAACAAGGGAGGAAATCCAGACCCGGCCTCTGGTGTTTTAGAAGGGCGAACAAAGGCGGTGAAGGGGCATAAGAGGGAATGCCCAAACCGCCTGCCCAGGTTGTGTAGCTAGATGGTCGCCAAGGGTAGTAATCTGGGAGTTCTGGATTCTTCTCGGGGATGGAACCCGAGACTCTGCAGCCTCGGGCTGTGGAAGGGGCCCGGCTTCTGGGACTTCGGGGACTGGGACGGGGGTGGCGGGGGGGGGGATAGGGGGCGCAGCTCCTCCAGCCGGGTCCGGAGCCTCTCCGGGCGGGATTCGCGTGGCGGGTTATTCTCACGTAGCCCGAGGCGGAGGAGCCCGGGGGCGTCCCTCTGGGCGCCGCCGCCACCCGCAGCGCTGCCGCGGCGCGGGTGGTCAGCTCGGCCGGTCAGCTCTGCCGCCGCCGCCCTCCAAGACCTCGGCAAACACAACCAGGGCCCAGGCGCCGGGCAGAGAGGCCAGCAAGGCTCGGCCGGGCGCCGCGGCTCAGGGCACCACCCCTACTGCCCCTCTGCGCTCGGCCTGGAACTTCATCTCCGCCCGCAGGGAACTTCTGGGCGCTTGGGCAGGCCACCTCGGGGTCCCCAAGCGGCCGGCCCGCCCGCGGCTTGTCCCCCAGCGTCCAGAGTTGCTGCAGGGTGGGCTCCCTTAGCGCAGACGGCTAAGAGCCGCGGGGTCAGAGTTCCAGAGGTGCGCGCGCCACCTCCCAGCGGGGCACCGCCACCCTGAACTTGTCACTGGGGAGGGGGGACGCCACGGGGTGGGGAGGGTAGGGTCTGGAGAAGGCAGCAGAGAGCCGGGAGAAAGGAACGATTCATTGGCTTCCTGAGGGGTGCAATTTGGGCGGCAGCTGTTCCTGGTGAAAAAAGAGGCGTCAGCGACCTTGGCTCTGCCCTTTAACCCGGAGGCCCCTGGGGGACCCGACGGTCCGGGCTAGGACAGAGCCCAGGTCGGCTCAGGAGCCTCCTCCTCCCCCCATCCCCCAGGGCTCTTAGTTTCTTCCTAGGTGTAGCGGATCAAAGTCTCTTTGGGGAGGTTAGAACAAAAAACAAAACAAAACAAAGCAAAACAAAACAAAACAAAACAAACAAAAGCCAGCCGTCTCATCTATACGTCAGACGACTCCCCGGCTGGTCCACGCGCTTCGCGCAGGAACCTGAGGCCTTACCCGGCTTGGGAACTGGGCCCAGACAGGAAAGAGAAGGACAAGGGTTTATTACTACAATTCCGCACATTAAAAAAACAAAAACAAACAAACAAACAAACAAAAACGAGCAGGCCGGGGTCGAAAACTTGGAAGATTAATTTTTCCTGGGGTCGCAATTATCAGCAGAGCCTTCGCCCCACGCAACTGCAGAGCTGAAAGCGCAATGGTGGACGCTGTCTCTATCAGGTTCTCCCCTCTTCTTTTGTTGGACGACTGCCTTAAGTAACTCAGCCGTCCCGTGTTCTGCTACCCAACCGCACCCCAAGCCACCCCTCTTCCCTCTGAAGCCCCCCCCCCCAACCCAAACGTCCCGACCTGGCGGCCCCCCCCCCCCCCCCCCCCCCCCCCCCGCCCCCCCCCCCCCTCGCTGCGGAAGGGCCCCCCCCCCCCCCCCCCCCCCCCCCCCCCAGCTTTCAAGCCGGTCTCCGCAGTAGACAGAGACCAGATCTGGTGGCGCCCCGCCCCGCCCGCGCAGTCCGGGGTCGCACTTTGCTCCCCGGAGGAGGTGAAGTGACAGCGCGCAGGTCCCTCTCCGCGGAGTCGCAGGCTCGGAAAGCGCAGGCTCTCCTCGGCGAGCGAGCGCCGGGGTCCTCCAGAGGCTCATCCCCTCGCGGTTCGTCCGCGAGAGCTCACCTCCACCTAAGGAGGGGGGGGGCGCGGGGGGTCCGGTCAGGAGGCGATTGACACTCAGCCCCGGGCCCCGAGCGGGGAGCGAAGTCTCCCGACTGTCACGGGGCCCGGGAGGCGCAGCTGATCGCCTCCTCCACGGCAGATGGTCTTTGAGCACAGATTTGCATTCATTGTCTCCAAATCTGTTTTCGCGCCGGCGTTCTAGATTTCAACAGCAGATCAGAATACAAAAAAAAAAAAAAAAAAAAGCGAGAGAGAGAGAGAGAGAGAGAGAGAGAGAGAGAAGCAAGGAAATCACACCCAGCCGAGAGGAGTTGTTTGAGTCTTTTTTTTTTTTTTTCTTTAATAGGCACCTCCAGCCGTCTAGGGTTTCAGCTCTTCTGTGCAGCCGTCGCTTCCCGACCACCCAACCCTCGCCACCGCCGTGCCGGGCGGACAAAGTTTCCCCGACTCCCCTCCACCCCCACCCCCAGCCTCCCGGAGTCTCCTCCGCGGGGTCCCCGGGGCTTCAGGGACTGGGGAGGGGAGATAGGGGGGCGGGGATCCTAAAGCCCGCGGTTCCCACCAGCCACGCTGTCAGCAACCTCTGTCATCTGCAAAGGTGCGTGCTCTCTCCTTCCCGGGGGGGGGGGGGGCGCTTCTCTTCGCTCCTCCGACCGTTTCCCCTCGGCGCCCGGTTCATCTCCACTCCGCTCTCGCCCTTCCTCCTCCTCCCCTTCTCTCCTCTTTAACACTTGTAGCCTTCCCAAGAAGCGAGAGTCACCCCGAACTCCGCGAGACCCGGGAGACGGATGCCCTGGAGGGGGGTGTGTGCGCGCGGTGGGGTGGGGGAGCGTTGGCAGAAGGCGTTCGGGACAGGTGGCCGCACTTTTTCCGCCGGCGGCGAGCACGCGCCCCGGTCCAGACCCCGCAGGGTGTCCCCCCCCCGCGGGCGGCCGGACCCTGCGCCCGGAGGCAAATCCGCGCAGGCGTCCCCCGGCTCCCGGGAGCAGACTCAGAGTCCCGCCGCCCTGGGTCGGCGAAGCGGGGTCTGGGGGCCCCCAGCCCCCTATTCCCACGCGGGCCGGACGCTCGGGGCTCCGGCTGGGGGGACCCCGTCCTTGCGGCTCGCGGTCGTAGCCTTTCACCTTCCGGACTCCCGGGCGACGCCGAGCCCGGCGACGGCCGCGGAAGGACGTCCGCGCGGCTCGCCCGCAGCCGGCCAATCCCGGGCCTGCATGCAAATGAGGCTCCTTATCGGGCCTCGGCTCCGCCCCCCGCGGCCCGGGCGCTTGTAACCATTGATGGGGCCCGCGCGCCGCTGCAGCCCGGCTCCGCCGCGCTCCCAGCCACCGCCTCCTCCTCCCGGCTCCGGGTCTTCCCCTTCCTCTCACAACTGATCCTGTTGGGGATTTTTTTTTTTTCTTCTTTCCTATATTGGAACGGTGGGGAGGAGCGGGGAGGGGGGCCAGGAGGAGGAAGGGGAGAGATCAGGCAGCTCTCTATCTCCTCCTGGTTTTTTTTTTTTTTTTTCCCTTCTCCCCGGAACAGGTGATGCTGTTAAACCGTGACCACTTTCTGGAAGAAACGCTCTGCAGCTAGGAGGATGCGGGCGACCTAGACTGGAAGCCCCGGGGCGGCAGATCTGAAGCCACCGAGGATAAAAACAAACAACAACAACAACAACAACAACAACAACAAACAAAATACCCCAAAACTCTGACTGCATCGCGCTTGGAGGAAAGGGGGCCGGTTGATTTCTCTCCAAGAGGGCCCCCCCAAACTTCGGCGCTTGCCCGCTTTCTCGGATTGCCTTGGAGAACAGCGTTTTGCCGGCGGCGTTGGAAAGTCGGGGGAAAAAGTCACTTTGAAGGCGACGGTAGGACCAGACTCTCTCTTTTTAAATGTTTGGGATTCAAGACACGCTAGGAAGAGGACCGGCTCTGAAGGAAAAGTCGCTGGGCGCCGAGATGGATTCGGTCAGGTCCTGGGTCCGGAATGTCGGCGTAGTGGACGCCAACGTCGCCGCTCAGAGGTAACGAGCCTGGAAGGCGCTGGGCTCCGGGAGTCTCTGGGCCTGTCCGTCTCTCCGTGTGCCCCCTCTTCCCCTCTCTGTCCTCCCTCCCCAGACCGTGCGCTCCGGGGCTCTCCCTGGGCGGACAGGTCAGCCCTTCCCCGGGCAGCCGACAACTGGAGTTTCTCAAGTACCGAGGTCATAGGTGGTTCTCCTTCACGCTGTCCTTTGGGGCAAAAAAGAGAAAAAAACCAACATTATTCGAAGCGGGGTTCGGGCCTCCCGGGCTGTCCAGCCGAGCGGAGCGCTGAGGCCCGGGGCTGGCAGCGGGCACGACCCCGGGAGCCGGCTCGCCGCCTTCCGCGCGCTGCCCGCGGGCGCCTTCTTCCCCGGCGCTCCGGGGACGATGCTGAGACTCCCGGAGCCCAGCGGCCGGAGGGCGGCGGCGGCGGCGGCGGCGGCGGCGGCGGCGAGCGGATTCGGAGAGGCCTGGACCGCTGCGGGAGGGAGGGCGAGGCGGGCCGGGAGCTCGGGGAGGGGGAGAGGGGCCGAGCGGGCGAGCCGGGGGGTCGGAGGGAGCGGGCCAGACCGGCGGAGGAGGGCGACGAGTTGGAGAGGAAGGACCGGGGCGCGGGAGGAGCCTCGGAGGACGAGGACGCGGGGATCGGTCGCCCGGCCGCCGGGAAGAGCAGCCTCCCGGCTCGGCGGGGTCCTCGCCTTGATTCCGTCTCCGGATCTCCGCGCGTTGCGGACGCCAAGGGCTTCCAGGGTCCCACCGTCCCGCCAGGACGTGTCAGCCCCACTCCTCGCCGCCGTCCCTTCCGAGCTGGGGTCGGAGGGGGCAGCTTATGGACCCTCTCCAGGAACCCACCGAACTTCTTCTACCGTCTGCCCCTCCGCTCTCCGCGCCCACCTCCTTCAGTGCGGACTTCGCGCCGAGGAGTGACCCCCCTTTCTCCAGCCAGGCCTCACCTCCGGGGGTCCCGGGTAAGGCGAAGCGGCCGCCACCCCTCGAAGGAGCGGAGGCGAGGGGTGGCTGGAACCGCCGGCTGCGCCTCCCCCGCCTCCCGGCCCTCCGGAGCAGGGATGCTCGGCTGTCCCCGAAAGCAGATGGCACTTTGCTGAGGCCGGGAGGGACTCTCCGAGAGCGCTGCGGAGGCTCGCTCCGGCGGCGGCAAAAAGCCGAGGGAGCCCGGCGGATCCGCGCTGGACTCATCTCCTTGGCGGGGCCTGAGGACTCCTCTCCCTCCTGACTTCCCGTCCGAAAGAAAATGGACTTCAAGTTGGAACAGGCAGTTAGAGCTGGGGGTGGAGGTTTAGCCAAAATTATAAACCTTTCAAAAGAAAAAAAAAAGTTGACTGTGACTGTGTGGCCGACTCGAGAATCCAGAAGAACCTCAGGGCCACCGGGCTGCCCTCGCCATCTGTCATTTAGCCGGCTCCGCACGGTTTTCGGTTCAATGTGGCACAGGCGGAGACAGGTACACGGGGAGAGGTCCTGTGCATCCGTTCAAGGCCCTGGAGGGCTCCGGGTCCAGCTTTACAGAGTCGGGGAATTGGGGAAGAAGAAAACAAAAACCCCAAACCCGCTCGAGCGCGCTGCCGGCCGCCTGGGTCTCCGGCCAGGACGCAGATTGTCCAGATCGTCTCTTCCGTTCTGTCTTCTCCACGTGGAGCGGCTCCGGGAGGCGAAGGTCCTCAGCAGCTACTGCTCGACCCTGGCCCGCTATTGCCCAGCAGTGACTGACTGTGGGGATATTTTGCAGGGACTTCTGTGCTGGATGTAAATTTCGGTGGAGTCAGGCCCAGAGGACAGAGACTCGGGCTCCGGGCTCCCCTCCTTGCAGGCTGTTGGGGGACAGTTCCTGTAACTCATCAGACAGGAGTTAGGAGGCGGCACTTGTTCAAACGCAGAAGAATCTTATCCCCTTCGAGTTGCGTGGCAGCTTGGGGCTCGGGCGGCAGGCTGAAGGGGAGGAGGGGGCAGGCGTCTCGGGCTGAGAAGCGCTTCTCAGGACGGGCAGCCCTGGTCTCTCGCTCCTCCCGAAGGCCGGGCAGCGAGATAGCAGCCCTAGCCTGGTGTCGGGGTCCTGGGAGGCTGTCTAAGGGGACGGTGGAAGTAAGGTACCCGCTACCCCTCTAATCGGACGTGCAAAGGGACCCGAAGGTCTTGGGGCCTGGGCAGGAGACCTCCTGACTCTTCTGCCTAACACCCCTTCTTTCTCTCTTTCCCCCTTGTCCCATCTCCTTCCCATCTCTTCCCGCGCAGTGGAGTGGCCCTGTCCCGGGCCCACTTTGAAAAGCAGCCTCCTTCTAACTTGAGGAAATCCAACTTCTTTCATTTTGTCCTGGCGCTCTACGACAGGCAGGGACAGCCAGTGGAGATCGAGCGGACGGCCTTCGTGGACTTTGTGGAGAACGACAAAGTAAGCGGACCCCTGACCCCACCCCACCCCCGGCCAGCCCTGAGGATTCCATCTGTCACTTGCGACACTTTCCCCCGCTCGCTGGCATCATCAGGGATGATAAATGGAGGCTTCTCACCCTCAGCCCCTAACTCAATGGATTTCCCCCTGCACCTCGGCAGGCCCCTACTCAGAACCAGCAACCAGGGGCTAGGCTAGGCTGTGCCTGCCTAGCTTTGGGGTCAGTAATAGCGACAGACCACTGACTGACCTGGGCGGGGGTTTAGACCTAATTTTAAAAGTGTACCCAACCCTGCCGCTGTCAGTCAGTTATTTTGCTATTACTATTTTCACTCCGCAGCGGGGAAGAGGGCAGGGGTACAGGTGGGTGGATTCAGCCTTATGTGGGAACCCAGGCCAGCTTTCCCCAGCTCGGTTTCTTTCTGGAGACTCCTTATTCCCCCCAACCTCGGACCTTTGAACTCAAACCCTTTTGAGGGCTGGATTTGATCCTCAATGAAGGGTTGTTTACCTAAACCAATATATGCCCAACAGCTGGTACGGAGGAGCCCCTTAGCTGTGCAAAGGAAGCCTGTGGTAGCTAGCTTTTTTTCCCCCCAGAATAGAGACTAATGCTCCCCTTATGAAGGCTCACCCCCCCCCTTTTTTTTTTGCAGAGAGAAGCCAGGGGCTTGCTGAGGACAGATAGATTGGGTGGGACTGTTTAAAGAGCGTTGGAGCGGGTGTCTGGTCCTCATGGCGGGAGGCAAGGGTGCGCTTGTGAGGACATTTTTAAGAGAGAGAGACAAGGGTTGACGAAGGTCAAGTGGCTGCGGGCCTTGACAAATTTCTCAAGATGGCCAATGGCGGCAGCTGCTCCTTGCCCTCTGGCGGGGCCGGGTGTGTGTGTGTGTGTGTGTGTGTGTGTGTGTGTGTGTGTGTGTACCAGAGTTGTTCAAGGTGGCAGGCCTGTTTCTCTCATTTTGGGGGAGCACTGAAGAGTTCAAGAACGGAAGGTTTCTGTCTTTTCAGGAGCAAGGCAACGAGAAGACCAACAACGGCACCCACTACAAGTTACAGCTTCTTTACAGCAACGGTAAGTGGCTCTGCGGGCAGACGTCAGGCAGCCAAGTCTGTGGTGGCTACCGACCGCAGTGTCCTGAAGAGGAGGGAGAGGACTAGTGAGGGCAAGTCTGGGGGAGGGGGTCTTGAATGGGGAAGGCCATTGAGGGGTGCCCAGCTTCAGGTCAATTCCATCGAGGTGTCTGTGGTTTGAAGGGCTTACTGGGATCAGACTGCGGGGCAGGGAGGGGTGGGAGGGGGTCTTTGCCATCCTTGTCCACCTCCTGTCCCCTCCCACGCAGGTGTCCGAACAGAGCAGGACCTCTACGTCAGGCTCATCGACTCTGTCACCAAACAGGTGAGTCCGGGAGGCAGCTGCCTTTGGCTCCTCACTTCCAGGGTTGTCTGTGACTTCCGCCTCTTGCATGATTTACAGCACGGGTTCACACTTCTCTTTATCTCAAGTCCGCTCTGGGGGACTGCGGACTGCTCCCCACCTTGTCCTGTTTCATCTGCTATGGGGGGGATGCTGGGTGTTGGGAGGCGGTAAATAAAAGGCTGAAGACAGCAAACAATTATTGAAGATTCAGTTCTCTGGAGAAATCCTCTTTGCTGAGAACTAAGGGACAAACTTCAGCTGTATTGACCAGACTACCACACTCTGGTCCTGTGCTGTGGGGGAGGGGAAGAGCTCTCCTAACTGGCGATGAGAGGGGACCAATTTTGTGCTGGTTCTAAAGTCCGGTCTTTGCCTTCACCCTGCCCATGTCTTCCTTTCTGACAGCCCATAGCCTATGAGGGACAAAATAAGAATCCCGAAATGTGCCGAGTCCTGCTGACACACGAGGTGATGTGCAGGTAAGAGCCACCTTTTCCCTGGGCGTGGCTGGAAAGCTGAGGGGATCCCGGGGCTGGTTTGCCAAAGGCACCTGGTAGATTTGTCTCTGGGAACCCCCTCCTGGTCATTAAGGCCAGTTCTTTGGTGCATAGGCCTTAGGACAGAGAAAGGTAAAGCGGAAGATGGGTTCCATTTCCCTGGCTTTCCTGAGTTTCTTCCACAAACTGGGGAATCTCAGCTGCTGCTCAGGCATCAGGGCGGGCGGGCTTGGGGTTGGACTTGGAATGGGGGCTTCCCCCAGACTCTCCATGACTGCTCCGCCTGCTCAGGGTGGATTTCCCCGAGTGCCACTTGTGGAGCTGGCTGCTGAGCTCTAGGCACCACCAGAGGGCTGAGCGGCTCCTTTCCAGGAGCTTCCCAGGTCCTAGGCCTCTGTTCTCAGGGAGATGCCCTGCTTCTCCTATGACTACAAGATTTTTCATCAGGGCCGTTTGTTTCTTAGGTCAAGAAGAAATCATGGGGCAGAAAAATCAGTCGGTGAGGTTGGGGGAAGCACCAGTCAGCACAGAGTTAGGGGGAAGCCTGGACGTGCGTGGGACATCTGAGGGTCCAGGAAAGATGGGTTCAGAGGCTCACATTGTGCAAGGCGCCGTCTGTTGGAGTTCTTGGCCTTCCTACCTCCTCTCTAGAGCCCAGTCCATTCAATTTTGTGCTCTGCATATTGCCCCCTTTCTTCTACCTAAGTAGAAGAATATTGGTGGTGATAGTGGTGGTGCAGAACTCACCCAACATTTCATCCTTCGACCAATGTTTTTGGAGTGCACAGTGTGTGCCGTTTTAGGGCGTTAATGAGCCTACCATGAACGAGAGAGGACATACAAAGGAGACTCCGGGAAGAACTCATTTCAGTAAAAAGAGTAAAAGTCCATCTTGTGCACACTTCTCTCCCTCTCTCCAAAGTCTGGCTGGAGGGAGAGCCTCAGTCCTTCCCTCAACCCTGCTCTCAGTTCACTGACTCCTGCTCCCATTCCGGGCAATCTGGGGATAATTGCAGGCCATCTGACTTAATAGGGACTGTTCCTCAGACGGCTTTCTAAAGCCCCCCTCCCACCCCTGGCCCCCTTAACCCAGCCTGTAAGAAATCATAACAATCAGACTTGCTTGTTTAGGTTGTGGCCAGGAATTAGAAAAGTAAATTCACCAAGAGGCAAAGTTGAAGCCATGGCCAGGAAGGGCACTGAGGTGCCATAGCTTGGGTAGGGTGTGGACAGTGGGTAGATTCTACTCCATTATTTCTGAGTTCTTGACAGGTCTGGTCAGAAGGAAAAGACTGTTCCAAGATGTACTTGTGGGTCATGTGTAGGCTGCACAGACAGCACTTTGGTTTGGTTGGGTAGTCAGAAGGAGGGTCCTTCTCTCACCACCTTTGAAGCATCTTTGTTTCAAGAGACAATCTTTAAAGATAAGAAAGGCCCCACGTAGTCCATTGTCTAATGAACCCTCCCCGTCTCTTTAAATAATACTCGCAACACCCCATGCAGCAGTAGTTAAGGGTGACATTTTTATTTTTCAAGCCTAATCAAATCCTCCTCATTTTATGCTGTTTAAATAGCAGCATCAATTTTTAAAGCCTCTAGTTTAGTCTGCATTAGTAACACAGTATAAAAATTTAATGTACTGTAACTTGTGGGGAGCTGGGAAGATGTGCTCTTACTTTCTTTCCAAACTAGAGTCTCAAACAAATATTAATTATAGGTGAATAAACGATCCGTTGGATGGGTTACTGTCTACAGTATGTGCACACGTGTGTGTTTGTGGTGTGTGTGTGTGTGTGTGTGTGTATGTGTATGTGTGTAATTTGTGTGTGTGTTTTGGAAGATGAGAGATAGGTGAGTGGCGAACTTCTCACTAGTCAAAAGGGGCTGATTCTCCTGGAAAGAGAAAATTCCTTCTCCTTCATTTGAGCAGTCAGTTACAGCTGACAATGACGGAGCAATGGATGAGGTGCCCAGTTCTTCAGTGATCAGTTAGTACTTTCATGGCAAGGTCTTGTCTGACATGCCTGGGTACTTCCAGAAATGGTTTGCTGTCCTGTATTTATTAGTTAAGGGTTCATTAGCTTTGGTGTGTGTGTGTGTGTGTGTGTGTGTGTGTGAGACAAAACAAAGGGACAAAAATCTCCTTAGGAATAACTTTTCCTTCCTTCCCCAGTGATCTCTGCTCTTCTCTTTCCTGTCTTAGTTCATGTTGCCAATTATTAGCAAGGAGATATCTAGGTGTTATGTTGGTGCCAGCCACCCCTGTACCCTCAATGCTCAGAGGGTTAAAAGATATTATAATTTGAACAGAAGTCGTCTCTAGGCCTACAGCTGGCTAATAACAGAGTTGTATTGAGCGCGAGCAAACCCCACAGCTGTGACTTTTCGCCACAAGGCGCAGGCTAGACAGGGCCCTAATCAGATGGGCCAGCCGGGCAGTGGGGCCAGTGTCTTTATCGGCCAGATGGTGTGAATTTAGACACTTTTGTTATGCAATCGCAGGGAGGAGTTGGGGAGAAGAAAACAAAACAAAAGCCACCATGCTGTGAGCTTATTTGAGTTTGAAATTAGAGACAGATTTTTGAAAGTTGAGGGTTGAATTTAAAAAAAAAAAAACACAAAAAAACGAGTTTGGAAGGGAAAAGGACACATTAGCTTATCTTGGGCTGGAGTTTGGCTGACTAGACATCCTCAGAAGGGACCACGGCTTGCTTTTTTTTTTTTTTTTTTTTCTTTTTTTCCTTTCCCCAGCCATCTTTTCATCTTTCTTTCTCTCATTTTCCCCTTTCCTGAAAAAGAAAAAAAAAATCAGGTAAGATTCAGAATTGTGATAAAACTTTCTCAGACCCCGGTCTCTCACCCCCAGCTTGTCTTTCTTTCCCTTTTCCCCTCTACAAAGATTCCATGGGAGGGGAAGAGGCCTTTGAGCAACTCGAGAGTGTTTCAAGTCCAGAAGGTACCCCAAATAAATTGAAGAGTAAAACAAACCAAAGCAAACTGGACAGGGACACAGAGAAACAGCTTTAGCTTTCACACATTGAGGAAAAGAAACACCCCAACCCCTTAGGGTAGTTTTAACCAATTGAAGTTCAGCCTTCTCATCCATCCATCCATCCATCCATCCATCCATCCATCCATCCATCCACCCATCTTTCCATCTATCTAATCTATCTATCTATCTATCTATCTATCTATCTATCTATCTATCTATCTATCTATCTATCTTTTTCCTGTTTTATAATCATTGCCAGTTGAAAACAAGACAAAACGCTGGGCATGGTAGCACTCGCCTTTAATCCCAGCACTTGGAAGGCAGGTGGAGTCAGAGGCTAGCCTGGTCTACAGAGTAAGTTTCAGGACAGCCAGGACACAGAGAAACTGTCTCAAAAAAAACCAAACCAAACCAACAATTTCTTTTCAGGAACTTCAGACTGAAGGGCCTGTCTGCTGGAGTATAAACTTAAGCCTTGGAACTAAAATGGGTGAACCTGAAGTTGGTCATTCAGGCCGTGTCTTGAGAGGAGAGAAAAACAGATAGTGTCACCTGAGTGATTCAGGGGCCCAGTTCCTGAGTGTTCTGGACCCCAAGCTACCCACAGTGTCGGTGGACTATGGGTTTCTGTGCGTCTTGGGTTCATTGCTTCCCCTGCCTGTCAGGAATGCTTAGACTGACTGCCACTTAAGAGTCAAGCTAAACACAACGAGCTCATACTAGTCAAAGCTTTCTTAAAAGCCAAACCAAACCAAACTGAACGGGAAAAGAAATTTGTTTTAACCGAGAGACCCAGAGAAATTTTCTTCAGGCATATTCAAGTGGGGAAATACAACCAATTCCTATTCTGTTTATCTGTCTACTATTGAGGTTCAGTGCCCCCAGTAAATGTCTCAATCTTTTCTCTGCTGGATGTTTACATTAGAGGTAAAATTTCAATACTTTCCTATTGGAAATAAAGGATCAGCCCTACAGTTTCTCTGCATTTTTTTCTCTCTAGGGCATTTCCTTCCCTGCCTTGTCCCTCACATTGTACCAGCCTGGCACAAGGCTTACTTTTTTTTCAACACCCCCCCTTTCTTTTCTTTTCTTTTTTTTTTTTTTTACTACAGAGGAAATCCCCATGGAAAACAGCTGAATTCAGCTGAGCCATTTTGCAAACTTACAGGCCTCCTCAGAATCATTCCTCCCCAAGCTAAACAGATTGGCACATTCTGAGGGCATATGTGATTGTAAATAAATGGTACCAGTGTTGCACACATATTTGGGGACTGGGCTGACAAGCTGGTGATATCAAAGGAGAGTCTAGCTTTGGAAGTCTTTAGGTGGCTTGTGTGTGTGTGTGTGTGTGTGTGTGTGGCTTTTGGAAGTGTGGTGATGGGCAAAACCACTTTGCCCGACCAGCTAAAGTTAACACATTGACTGAAAGGGTACTCCAGAAACGGAAAAGTTGGGAGCCGGAAACGCTATGAGTAGGCAGCTGGAGTAATGCAAGGGCTTTGGGAGGCTGGAGTATAGATGGCTAGAATTTTTTTTTTTTTTGGACGTTGATATTGGAGTGAATTGAAATTTTAAAAGTTATGATCTAATATAATTTCAAAGGTCAAATATTATTTCAGAAAGTCCCAGCGGCAAAGACGGGCATTCAGGAAAGTGGAGACAATTTTTAATATTTACTAATTTACATGTCTTAGAGCTTCATCGGGCCCATTTGATGAGCAGGCATTAAAGGGCCTCTCAAGGGCCTTTTACACGCTGAGGGTGGTAAGGTTGCCCACTGATTAATCTGTAGGTCTGTGCTGAGAGAGATGGGTTTCAGAAGTTTGTAAATGTTCATTAAGGAAAAAAAAATGGGTGGCTGGAGAGATGGCTCAGCAGTTAAGAACGCTGGAGGCTCTTGCAGAGGACACAGGTCTAGCTCCTAGCACCCACCTAGCAGCTCATAATCACCTGTAACTTCAGTTCCAGGGGACCCAACACTCGATTCTGCCCTCTGTATGCACTAAGCAGGCCGAGGCAGGCCGTCTTTGTGACTTCGACGCCAGCCTGGTCTATAGAGCAAGTTCCAGGACAGCCGGGGCTACACAGAGAAACTCTGTCTTGAGAAACAAAACAAAACAGATTCTTTTTCTGCCTGTTTTGCTTCTGTGTATGTCTGTGTATGATAGGCATCCCTGGTGCCCTAGGTGGCCATAAAGACATTGAATCTCCTGTAGCTGAAGTGACACATGTTGTGAGCCACCTTGTGGTGCTAGGAATCGAACTTGGGTCCCCGAGAAATCGGTGCTTTTTAACTGCGGAGCCATCTTTTCAGCCCCTGCCTTTGTTTGTTTATGTTCAATTCTGTGGAGGATCAGAAGGTGAGTGGGCTGCAGAGGGTCACTGATCAGACCCCTGACTGGACTGGGACAGGTTTTGGGGTCCCTTGTTGCCACACGGGCTTTCTTCCTATGTCTGTCTGTACTATTACAATTTGCATGAACTCCCATTACTTCACCCTCATCAGCTTAAATCTAGAAGCCGCTCCAAAGATAATCAACTGGAATGCTTTGTGGAGAAGAGAAGCAAAACTCCGAGGGATTCAAGAGAATGGACTGAGTCCACGTAGTTAGTTGGTGATGGGTAAGATATCAGGCCACTTATTCCTGGTCTGACAGTTTCTCCGTGGCACTACCCTAGGTCTGAGCTGCCAAAGAGCCATGTCATGGCAGCGCTCACGTGCAGATGGTTATTACAGACGCATATTAGACAGCTCCAACTTGCAGGGATGGTCATGATTTTCTTATGAGCTATGTCAAGGCTACAAGCTGCAGCAGCCATACTTGATAGTGAGTATTTAAGAGTCTGTGATCTGCTGAGCAGCAGTTGGGGATTTGCGTACCGTGTTGGCCTTCTCAGGTGTGTTTAGTTTGAGCAGATACTTTTGGACTGGCGTCTTTGCTCCCTCAGGCCGTTTGGAGTCTTTCCTTGTTGTAATTGCTCTGAGGGCTCCTCTCTCTCTTTCACTACTTCCTTCCCTCTCCTTCTGCCCCCCCTCCCTTCCTCATCATTTCTCTGTCGGTCTGTCTGCCAGGCTCCGTGCACTTCACAGAGAGGCAGGGACTTCACAACCGGGACATGGATGCATTCAAGCCCTATTTCTGTTCCGATGAAAATCATCAGCCATCCTTCTCCAGCTCTGTGTTTCATTTCCTTCCTATTTTTACAGTGTATAACATTCCTCTTTATATGTTCATATTTATAAAATGTATGAAATGTATGCATTCCGTATAAATTCTCATCTTCTTCCTCCATCTTTGGAAAGTGGCAATGACAAGTGAATAAACAAATGCTTAGAAAGGTCATACCTTTCTCCAGAGAAAGCAGGCAGGTCGATAAGGTTTACAGTTACCCGATTACTTTTGGTCTACTTAATACATTCTCATACCCTTTCTTTCTTTGGATATTTACTGGGACACAAAGACCTGAAATACAGTTTCATAAAATCATCACGCACCAGCCTGGAAGTGATCTTGTGGACCTTAAAATCTACATGTCTAATGGCCAAGTTATAGATCTGGCTCTCGGGGAAGCTGAGATCTGCCAGCTTCTAAGACAGAGAATTTGGTGGCTTCAGATTCAGCTTTCAAAAAATAAGTAGGGCATTGTCACAAAGTTTGCCCTCGTGCAGCTTACAGTCCGGAGGCTACCTTGGCCCTTTGGGAATGCTCTTATGCTGTATGCTCTTTGAGCCTTTCCGGTTCCACACAATTTCCTTCATCGGTTTGATTCCTTCCTCTCCTACAGCCGATGCTGCGAGAAGAAGAGCTGTGGGAACCGGAATGAGACTCCGTCCGACCCCGTCATCATCGACAGGTAGGGGGAACGCCATTTTTGCTCTTCAGCGTCTTTCCTAACTCTGGAGGACTTTGCCTTAAGCTCAGCTTTGTGTTTTCTACAAGGCACGAAGCTCCTGCAGCCAGAATTTCCTCACTTTGGCACCGGTGATGTCTCTTGAAAGAAATCAGGATGTTCCTTTTATTTTTTTCTTTATTCACTTATTTATTTTTTAAATTTAATCTTCGGTGTTTTGAGACGTAATTTTGTTTTGCAGCTCAGGTTAAACTTGTGCTCTTTCTGCCTCAGTCTTGCGGTTGTTGGGGTACAGACTTGTGCTAGGACGTCCTTTCAGAAGGTACCTCGAAATCACAGGCAGATTTATTTGCGTGTCAACTAACTTTGGTCTCATAATGTATGTGAATAACAGAAGAAGGCGAGGCCTCTGTCCTCCCACTGTCGTTCTCAGGGAGGGTATGGTCAATCCTTTCTCTAGAGGAATTAGTACACCCCAAGCTCAATGTCATTAAAAAATTTTAATTTTTATTAACCATGTTTGGTGGCTGCTGCTGATGGAGCCTCTCATCTCAGGTAACCATGTAGAAAGGGGCTCCTGACAAGTTCATTCTTGCACTGAGGGAGAATCCTTCCTGCCACACAGGACCACAGCCTGGGCTCTACGCTGTGTTCAGAGTGAGATAGATTCTCTGGGACAAGATGCTAATTCACTGAAATGCGATTTAGGCGTCCTCAGCTGTCTGTTTTTGTGATTGGAAACAGAACTTACAAACCGATGAAGAAATACCAAATTAACTTCCAGCAATCATGTAATTTTTAAAGAAACCCCATATTCCCATCCCTAATTTTTTCTCTTTCGTTAAAAAACGTGAAGAATTCCCCGTTGCTTCTTTCTTTGGGTTTTCATGTTTTTAGCCAGGTCCTGAAATGCTTGGGAGAGACCTCCGTCTCCAGCGTTGTTATTCTAATATTCCAGTATATTCTCAGTGGGGAGGATGGAAGCCCTGGCGTTCTTCCCAGGAAAGTCAGCTTGCTTTCTGCATGGGAAGGATAGCACAGCCATAGGGACAGAGGAGGCTGGGCTTGTGATTCTGTCCTCGCTCTTGACCTTGGCTAAAGCTCTCAGCACCATTGTTCAGCCATGGTGAAGTGATGTCTGTCAGGGGATGCTGCTTGTTGCTGTAGGCTGCGGGAGATGATGGAGATGCCTGGAAGAGGGTGATGAACAAGTGGAAAATGTCTGTGGGATGCTACGGTAACTTTGTAATTTGAAAGGCCTGTTTGGAGTTTCTCTGGTATTTACAAAGGCGCAGACTTAAATATCTATCATTGGGAGGGCTCTCTGGGGGCTGTTCATCTTCCTCTTTTTATAGATGAAAAAAAAAAAAAAGAAAATCCAAAAGACAAAACAAAACAAAACAAAAACAAAACGGGAGCCCCAGAGTGGTGACATGGCATGCACAGTTGGTGTGGCTGAATTGGCACACGGATGCAGTTGATTGTACTGTTAGGCTCATGCTCCTCCCAAGGCAACAGTTATATTCTCCCAGCATGCTCTCTGTTTTAACCAATGCCTAGGTCCACTCACCACACAGAATATCATTGCTGTCCTTCCTGCAATGCCTTTGGGATCCTCTGGCAACTGGAAGCATATGCAAGCTTGCCCTCTGGACTGTGTACACAAGCTCAGCGATCTTCATCTAGTCTTTGTGGGGTTTGTGGTATGTGTGTGTGTGTGTGTGTGTGTGTGTTCATGTCCGGGAGTGTGCCACAGTGCTTGTGTGACATTCAGAAGACAACCTCGGATATTGTTCTTTGATTTTCCACCTCGTTCAAGATATGGTCTCCATTGTTTGCCTGCTGCTTTCACTTGGCTAGCTGGCCGGCCCACCAGCCTCTAGGCATTCTCCAGTTTCAGCTTCCCCTCTCCCTGCAGGGGGCGCTAGCATTACAGACACAGGTGCTTCTGAGTCAGGTTTTTATATGGGTTCTGGGGATCCTGCCACAAGTTGTCAGATTTGTGCTATAAACGCTCTCCCCACTTTACCTAGCCCTCATCTAGTCTTTCCCCCTAATTGTAGCCCATATTTTAGGAAGTTTAGCTCGTTTTATGGTATCTCCTCTTGGGATAAATGTGCCAGAAGTCAATTTTAGAAATGTTCTGCAAACCTGTGCGAACTGACCTCTGCATCTCACCGGCACGCATCCCAGTGATTCTGTGCTTTGCAGTAGCTCTAACTTTAAAAAGCTCCTTGTAAAATGCACTCACGGGTAAAGCTGAACGTGTTCTTAGAAATACATGTTGAAAGCACCAAAGAAACTGGGCAATGGTGGCACACACCCTTAATCCCGGCACTCTGGAGGCAGAAGCAGGCAGATCTCCATGAGTTCGAGGCCCAGCCTTGTCTACAGAAAGTTCCAGGGCTATACAGAGTAACCTTGATCCAAAACAAAACAAAACAAAACAAGCAACAGAGAAAGCAGTCTTTAAAAAAAAAATTATGAACCTGTCTGTGTGGGGGTTTGTACACATGAGTGCAGTTTCCATGGAGGCCAGGAGAGTGCGTTGGGGTGGCTGGATGTGGATGCTGGGAGCTGAACTCTCATCCTTTTTGAGAACAGCAGGGAGTTCATAACCACTGAGCCATGTCTGCAGCTCCCAGAAGACAACATTCTTTCTTCTGTGGAGACAAAAGATTTTCATCTCAGGTGTCTTCCTGGGTTGTGAATGCTTTCAGTCCTTCTAAGATGGTGGAAATTGTGTCTTTACAAGTTTTACGTGACACCGGCATTTGTTTTAGTTGTCACATACACATCTAAACAGCCTGGTGAAGTCTCTGAGTCACCTGAAATGTGTCTGACTTCCTAACCCTTGCACATGTACACACTGAAACGCAAACAGAACAGTGCAATAGATGGTTGAATGCCAGGTTTTAGGAGAACTGATTTTATTATGAACATGTATTTGTGCTCTTTACTTATTGTAGGGCTTTTTTTTTTTCCTTTTCTTCTGAAGACATTGCTTCCTCAGCAGAGCCTTATCTTGCTACTCTCAAACGTCTTTTGGGTGTAACTCATCATCTTGCCTTCATTTTCTGAAGTGAGAAGATAGGCCGGCCGTTAGGCTTTCCGTTTGTTGGGTGGGAAGGTGGAGCTTGTGTCATCCCGCAGTTTGGTTGACCTGTGCATATGGTCCTTGGGTTCGGTGGCTGCCAGCTCGAAGGTGTCGCATTCCCTTACCAAGCACCAAATGGGTGCAAAGTAGTTTATTTCAGATTTCCCCCGAGTAAACGTGGAAGGGTCCCCTTTGCCCTTGTTCCTACACTGCCAGCTAATTATCTCCTCCCCTTCTCACCCAGCCTAGCCAGATGCAGTTAATTTATGTGTCTCTCTTGGAGTTTCCTCACAGCATAGGCACAGCCCCGCTCCAGCTCAAGGGAAGACGATTTACTCCCTTGGATTTGTGAGTGTTCCTGGAGCGGGAGGCAAAAGCATGATCCTTCAACTTTTCACCCCTTTCTGAGGATCCCTTTCATTTTTTTTTTCCATAGTGAATGCAAAACTTCAGTGAAAGAATATGGCTACAGCCACGCCTTCCTCCTTATGAATCAAAGAGAGATAACGGAATGGGAGGTGGAAAAAAAGTCATCTTAGATATGTCCTTGACATCACTGATGGCCAATTAGAGTCTGGTCAGGATGAGGCAAACAGCATTCCTACATGGCACAGGGACTTTGGGCTGCAACAAAACAACTGCATTCCCCAAGGAGCCCTTGTGATCACATTTCAGCAACTACTCAGTTTCCAACAGGCTGCTCCAAACCCGAAAAACAGTGCTTAATACTGTGTGGCCCTTGACTGATAGTTGGCTTTTACTGTAGGGGTCGTTCTTACTAGGAACTTAGTTTTCTGTGTCCCAAGACTTAGCCCCAAACTTCAGAGTTGTTCCCTGCTAAATGGCCCCCCACCTGGATTGCTCTAGAAACACACCTATCTGTGTGTGTGTGTGTATAATTTATTTCTCTTTTATGCTCATGAATGTTTAGTCTACATGTATGTCTGTGTGCTATGTGGATGCAGGATCTCAGAGGTCAGAAGAGGGTGCTGGGTCCCCTGGAACCCAGATATTTGTCAGCTACAAGTGTGGGTGCTTGGAATTGAACTGTGCCCTCTGGAAAAGCCCAGGCTGGCCTTGAACTCAGAGATCTGCCTGCCTCTACCTCTGAAGTGCTGGGATTAAAGGCTTGTGTGCCCCCCCCCAACCTCCACACACTCCCAACCTGGCTCTGTTTTCTTATTCTTAGTTGTGTCCTCAGCATAAGTTTTGGGTAACCAGCCCGTTCTCCAAAAAGCTAGGTCAAGACCCAGGCTGGAAGAACTTGCAAGGATTTGCAAAAACAGTGAAAAAGTATGTGAAGGAATGGCATCAGGTTCATGCCTTTTTTTTTTTTTCTATAAAAATTTAAAGTTCTTCTCAGGGATAACACAAAATAACATAGCAGATATATTACTTGTTTCATGCTGCTGGCCTGATAGCGATCTACTTTAGGGTGGGGTTGGAGGGAATCCAGTCCAAGATGATGGAGGAAGAGAGGCATTGGGTAGTGTTGCAGCGGGAGCCAGAGGAAGCTGCTTATTAAATGGCTTGAACCAGGAAGCAGAGAGACTTCAGCCCAAAGTGGGCAGAGCTGTAGCCCTTAAGCCTGTAGCCAGCCAGGGCCCATGACATCGGAATTCAAAACAGTGCCACCAGCTGGTAACTGAGTGTTTAAATAAATGAGCCTGAGGGGCACATTTCATGTTCAAACAATAACAGGGACGCATTATCCCCTCTGTGGTCTTCAGCTATCTTTCGGCTGTGAATACCTGTTTGGTAAATAGAAAGAGCTTCCGTTCTGTGGTTCCGAGGGAAGCTCTAACTCAGCCGTGCTACCACAGGCTGGGTGCGCTTTAATCTCTTCCTTCTGTCTGGAAGTTTCTTTGGACAGCCCATTGGTACTCTGGGGTTAGACATACTTCAT